CGTTCCCCAAGTAACGCTAGCAAAACTCGTATTACCATGTCCGTCTGTACTCTTAACACAAGAAGACTAAATAACCGTGGTCGCTCATATGTCGGCTGGTCCAGGGGCTCAAAGTTCAAGGCCTTGAGGGTTTAGGCTTTCATAGTGTCTATAACGGTGCAGGATTCAGGTCATAGGGTTTAGGGTCGATAACGATCTAGGACTAAGGTTTTAAGGTTTGGGATCTCGGGTTTATAAACCCGAAACCCCAAACCTTAATGTCTGGGATGTTTTGGGGTTTGGGGAGACACGGGCTTCGGATCTTCATTTTGTTGATGAACCCCTACTTTTGAGGGGTCGTGGTTATGATTGCCATATAAAGGGCAAGTAAGTTGGGGGTCAGGTCGGTTTTGGGGTTTGAGAGCTCAGGGCTTTGGGGTTATATTTGGCCTCTCTTGGTTCCAGCACTCTTCGAATGAAGTGCTACAATCCTGGAACGAGTAAAACCACCCCCAAATCTTGAAATTCCGGGCTTTGGTGTTTAGTTTCGTTTCGGGGAGGGTCAGGGCGCCAGCCCCTGGATAGTCCCCCCCAAAACCCCGAAAAAACCCAAACCCACACCCCACAACATAGAACTCCTAAAGCCGAAAATGAAAGAAACCTCCCAACCCTGAGGTGAACCTGCTGAACCACAACCGCCCAAAACACAATAATAAGGCTTCCTCTGACAACTCAGTCCTCGACCCTACCAAACCACAAACCCTAAAACCCTAGGCCCTAAACCCTGATTAAACCCACAACCCTATAACAAAAAACCCAAGACCCTAAACCCTAAACTCGAAAGCCAAGGCAGCCAAGGCTCGAAGGGATGAAAATCGACAGGGTCTGAAAAGGCAGCCGGGTGGCTGAAATCTTGCCTTCGGCGTAGTCAGCGCTGCGGAGTTTGGGGCTCTCTCTCGTGCACACATGTATACTTCATTTCCATCCATCCATCCATCCATCCATCCATCCATCCATCCATCCATCCATCAATACATCCATCCATGCAATGCAAGCAAGCAAGCATGCATGCAAGCATGCATACGACATACATACATGCATACATACATACATACATACATACATACATACATACATGTCTATATATATATATATGTATACCTGAAGAGGTGGGTAGGTAGATACTCAGACAGATAGGGAGATAGATAGATAGATACATAGATAGATAGATAGATAGATAGATAGATGGATAGATAGACAGACAGATCGGTATATCGACAGGTCGATCCATAGACAGAGAGATAGACAGAAAGACAGGTAGACAAATAGGTAGGTAGATAGATGGATAGATGGATCGATAGGTAGATGCTTGGATGGATGGGTAGATAGATAGATAGATAGATAGATAGATTGATTGATTGATAGGCAGATGGGGCGATAGGTAGATAGATGGACAGATGAACAGATGGATAGAGACGGATAGATGGACAGATAAATAGATGAATAACTGGATAGACAGATCGGTTGATCGATAGAATGGTCGTTATAAACTACGCAAGATTGGTAGAACTAGAGGTACTTTGAGCGACAGGTGCATACACCGACAGATAGACCGATAGGTTGTTCGGTAGATAGATGGGTTGGTGGACAGATACATTCTTCCACGGTCAGGGGTTTGCGAAAATTAGAAAATCTTTAAAACAAGCCCTACGAAACCAACACCAAATCCACACAAATGTACGTGCCTACACTTGAGGGTTTAGTCTCTTGGAGGGCTATAGGGTTCTATAGGGCTTTTATGGTTCCTGTTATCGGGTGGGTACAATTCTTGTTGCGCTGTTCTCCTGATGAGGTTTTTGAGGTTCTCACATGGCTATAACACGGTGTTCTGTATAAAGGTTTGTCTGCTACCCTCAGGGCCCACAGAACCTGGAAACTAGGGGTCCTGGGGTCTTAGAAGCGTTCGATAAGGGCTTCTATCAATGTTTTCTTTGTAGGATTTCAGGGGTGTTTCAAGTGTACCAAAAATTCGTCTATGGGGTACCTGAGCTGCTGATTGTCACAGCTGTGGGTTGATGTTCTGGTGTACATGGTTATTACGTACGTGAACGGTCACAAACGAACAAAGCTTCTGCAATAGGCGGGCTGAACTACTTGAATGGGGTGTTGGGGTATACGATGCTACAAATTACAGAGTTACGGACTACAGTATACAGAGGATATTTTTTTGGTGCTAATTATGTCGACCCCCTATATTAAGACTGAAGCCCTTCTCCTTGCATGCAAGCTTCTGGGGTCTGAAGCCAAAGCCGGCGTCCCATCGATGTAGTTGCCGGCTGCATCTTGCGCGAAACAATACCTCGGTTCTTCCCTACACCCTACACCCGCCCTAAACCCTAAACTTTAAACCCTCAATCCCCTCTATATAGGGGGACGCAGTTGAAGCCTGGCTGGCCAAACATGCCCGAATCGAAACCCCCACAAACCGCCTAAACCCGGATCCGAATCTATGTATTCTCAGCAGCGGCCCGGCAGAGCAAGATTTTCAGCCCTAAACCCTAAACCCCAAACCCCTAAACCCTAAACCCCAAACCCCTAAACCCTAAACCCCTAAACCCTAAACCCCTAAACCCTAAACCCTAAACCCCTAAACCCTAAACCCCTAAACCCAGGTTGGGCTCTCAGGTTCTAAGGGCTTCTGGGCTTAGGTCCCAGGGCCTGGGCCCGAGGTCCCCAAAGGCGCTTCAAAAGGGGCTTAAGGTTCGCCGCTATCGTCCGCTATGACACCATTGGTTTAGGGGTTTAGGGGTTTAGGGGTTTAGGGTTTAGGGGTTTAGGGGTTTAGGGTTTAGGGTTTAGGGTTTAGGGGTTTGGGGTTTAGGGGTTTAGGGTTTAGGATGACACCATTGGGCAAGACGCAACAATACCCTATGCAAGTTGCATGAAAGGCTCTACGCCCCAACCCCTAACCCCGGAACCCTAAACCCCAACCCCTACATGATACACCCTAAATGTCCCCTAAACCGTAAACCCTAAGCCCGCATTAAAACACAAAAGGACAACGAAACAACGATCCTCTCGTGGCGAAGCGCAGGTCGTAGGTTGTGCCTTCCGAGAGACCAGCAAGTCGCATGGAGCTCCTGGGTTTGGTTTTAGGGTTTAGGTTTAGGGGTTTTTGTTTTTGCTAAACATATTATAGGGGGAAAAAATTTTCCCCCTATAATATGTTTAGAGCTTCTTTCGGGGAAAACAGTAGGGCTGTCTAGAGTTTAGACTTGTGGCTTCATAGAGCTTTTGTAGTGTCGTTTTTACAGACTTGCACATCGTAAAATCTAGGGCGCTCAATGGTTTTTGTCTATGAGTTTTTCTGCGGATGTAAAGGATTTCTGCGGCGATGTAACCCACTATGTTGAATCAAACCAGGTGTCGTTTGGTGATAAACAAATGATCTCTGCCACCGTCTTTTGGTTGCCCTTAGAATTCCCCTCTGGTGACCCTAAAAATTGTTTTATTTCGAACATCCCCACCCTACAGATAATGCATTTGCCAGGCAGGCAGTCTGTGGGGTTGGGCACTCCAGGGTAGTCTGTGGGGTTGCACACCGCGCAGTCTCACCGTTGTCTGTGGCGTTGGGCACTCAGGGAGTCTCGCGCACTCCAGGGACTCCCACGGTGGTCTGTTGGGTTGGGCACTCCAGGGAGTCTCACGGTAGTCTGTTGGGTTGTGCACTCCAAGTCTCACGGTAGTCTGTGGGGTTGGGCACCCCAAGTGTTTTTGAGGAGGTAGTCTCGGCGGGCGAGGAGTAATAGCTGACTTTAAATTCTAACAACGCCACACCGAGGGTGGGGAATAAAGACTCGAGAACCCTCAAAGAACCCCTGACCAACATGTTTTTCCTGCATTGGGAGATGTGCTCAACAGAGCACTGACTAACATCAAGAGCCGGGGCTCTGGTAGTTCTGTGACGCTTGCACCGTTGTCGTGGCCCAGGCAGCGACGTTGGTGTTCAGCAGGATCTGCTTCATTGCATGGGGCTCAGGAGGTGGGGTTTAGGGTTGGGGTGTAGGGTTTGGGCTTT